TACATTGCATTATTATTATTATTATTATATTATTATTATTATTATTATTATTATTATTATTATTATTATTATTAGATGTACTCCAAAAACCAACCTTGGCACTTTAATAAATTATTCTTATTATACTATTATTATATTATATTATATTATTATATTAGATGCACTCCAAAGTCAACCTTGGCACCTTAATAAGTTATTATTATTATTATTAATAATAATAATAATAATATTTACATGCAGTCCAAAACCAATCTTGGAACTTATTATTATTATTATTATTATTATTATTACACCTTGGCACCTTTGCATGCACCTTTCATCCAGAAACAAACCAACCAAGGTGGAGGGGGAGCGCATGCATGCATGCATTGAACATGCTTGCAATGGTCCTGGAAGGCATCCTTTTCCCTGACCCCTGGCCACCCCATCAATGACCTCCCTGGATTGTCCAGAGCGCGCTGACCTTGCTCCGGGGCGGGGGGTCCGCTGTCCAGGCTGCCCCCGTTTCCTCCGCTTAGGCAATCCGGAGGGGCCCACCCCGGGTGGCAGTGGCAATGGCCGTAGTTGTTGCAGACCTGCAGCAGAACATGAAAAAAGGGGTGTGCAATAGGGATGCGCAATAGGAAGCAATGCGTTTTGATGCGCAACAACATCGGAAAAGACAACTGGGAGGCCTACCCCACGGCCGTTGCATTGGCAGGATGGACGCTCCAATGACGACAGGTCCCGGCATCGGCGCTCCACGCAGACCTACCATGAGAAAGGAAAGAGCTGGAAGGGGCACCCAAAGGTCATCCAGACCAATCCCTTCTGCTATAAAGGAAGGCACAATCAAAACCCTCCCAATAGATGGCCATTCGGCTTCCCTAGCATCCTACAGTTGGAAGGGACCCCCCAAATGTCATCCAGACCAACCCCCTTCTGCTATAAAGAAAGGCACAATCAAAACCCTCCCAATAGATGGCCATTCAGCCTCCATAGTATCCTATAGCTGGAAGGAGTACTCAAAGGTCATCCGGACCAACCCCCTTCTGCTATAAAGGAAGGCACAATCAAAACCCTCCCAATAGATGACCATTCAGCCTCCATAGCATCCTATAGTTGGAAAGGGCACCCAAAGGTCATCCAGACCAACCCCTTCTGCTATAAAGGAAGGCACAATCAAAACCCTCCCGACAGATGGCCATTCGGCTTCCATAGTATCCTATAGTTGGAAGGAACCCCCCAAAGGTCATCCAGTCCAATCCCTTTTGGTGCCATAAAGGAAGGCACCATCTAATCCCTCCTGACAGATGGCCACCCAGCCTCTGGGGACTCACCTTTCCCAATCCGCAGCTCGTGCCGGTCTGCACCAAGGCCAGGTCGAGGGCGTCGTCCAAAGGGGTCAACAGGAAGTGCGGACAGGGAGCGTCGCCACGGGTCCCGCCTTGGCACTGCAGCCGCCCGCACTGCGCATCCCTGAGGGCAGAAAGGGTCAATTCCTATGTATCACAATTCGATCCCTCCCGACAGATGGCCATCCAGCGATATAATTGAGAGCGAGAGATAGATGTAGCATCGAATCCTACAGTTGGAATGGACCCCAGAGGCCATCCAGTCCAACCCCCTTCGGCCAGAAAGGAAGACACAATTCGATCCCTCCCGACAGATGGCCATCCAGCTATAGAGAAATCTATAATTCAGAGATAGATGATAGATGTAGCATTGAATTTTAGAGTTGGAACGGACCCCAGAGGCCATCCAGTCCAACCCCCTTCGGCCAGAAAGGAAGACACAATCCGATCCCTCCCGACAGATGGCCATCCAGCTATAGAGATCTATAATTCAGAGATAGATGATRGATRYAGCATCGAATCATAGCGTTGGAACGGACCCCAGAGGCCATCCAGTCCAACCCCCTTTGGCCATAAAGGAAGACACAATCCGATCCCTCCCAACAGATGGTCATCCAGTCCAACCCCCTTCTGTCATAAAGGAAGACACAATCCGATCCCTCCCGACAGATGGCCATCCAGCTATAGAGATCTATAATTCAGAGATAGATGATAGATGTAGCATCGAATCATAGCGTTGGAACGGACCCCAGAGGCCATCCAGTCCAACCCCCTTTGGCCATAAAGGAAGACACAATTCGATCCCTCCCGACAGATGGCCATCCAGCTATAGAGATCCATAATTCAGAGATAGATGATGGATATAGCATTGAATCATAGCGTTGGAACGGACCCCAGAGGCCATCCAGCCTAAAGGAAGACACAATTCGATCCCTCCCAACAGATGGCCATCCAGCTATAGAGATCTATAATTCAGAGATAGATGATAGACGTAGCATCAAATCCTAGAGTTGGAACGGACCCCAGAGGCCATCCAGTCCAACCCCCTTTGGCCAGAAAGGAAGACACAATCCGATCCCCCCCGACAGATGCCCATCCAGCTATAGAGATCTATAATTCAGAGATAGATGATGGATATAGCATCGAATCTTAAGAGTTGGAACAGA